AATGCCCAAGCCGGGAAAAGATGACCACAAGTTCAAAAACTTAACAGCTCGTTGGTACGTACCCAGAGTAATCTACTTTGATTTGGAGTCACTGCTCTTACCAGTATACGGACCGCAACCTGATCCGCGAAAATCTAGCACGCAAACAATTGAAATCCATCAACCGTGCGGCTACGCGTTAGCAGTAATCGAATTTGGGAAAAAAGACCTGTTAAAGTTTGAGCTTAAAAGAGGACCGAATGTGATGGAAGAGCTAATTAGCTCCCTTGAATCGTTAGCGAGACAAATTTACGTAGAAAAAAGGAAATATTACACTTTCACTGGTATAACAGACCAGGAACGGGAAGATGCTACAATTTGTTGGATATGCGAGAATGATTTTTCCGACAATGATCAAGTGGTACTTGATCATTGCCATTACACCAACAAGTTTCTGGGTTGGGCACACAATGAGTGTAACGTTAATAGAAAAACAACAAATTACATTCCAGTGGTAGCTCATAATTTGTCAAATTATGATTTACACTTTATAATCAAAGCGCTGGCAAAAAGCGATTCGGAAAACACTTTTTCCGTAATACCCGCATCTGAAGAAAAATATATATCCTTGACAATCTCAGTCTACATAAAAACGTACACGGACAAAAACGGAAAAATCAAAAAACTCTACGAAAATCTGAGATTCATCGATTCGTATAGGTTCATGCTGGCATCGTTGGCAAAACTTGTCGATAATTTGCCCAACGAAAAGTTTTTTCTGCTGGAGAACTATTTTGAAAAACTCGGCCACTCACGTGAAAAAGTTAGTCTGTTGAAACAGAAAGGGCATTACCCCTACTCATACTTCAACTCATTCGAAAAATTCCGAGAAACTCGCCTTCCCCCACGAGCAATGTGGAAAAATAGTCTAACAGGAGGGGATGTGAGTGTTTCAAGAAGCGAGTACAATCATGCCCTTAAAGTTTTCACCGAACTGAAGTGTGGCTCACTTGGTGATTACCACGACTTGTACTTGACTACAGATGTGCTATTGCTTGCTTCCGTTTTCGAAGCTTTTCGTGAAGTTTGCTATCAAACATACGGGCTGGATTGCGCCTGTTACTTCACGGCAAGTAACCTTTCCGGGGACGCCTTTCTAAAAGTTTGTAAGCCCGAACTGAAACTCTTAACGGACCGTGAACATCTAGACCTTGTGCAGCGAATGATACGAGGAGGCATGTCGTCGATTTACGCGCGCCGATTTTACAAAGCAAACAATAAATACCTCGACGATTTTTCGCCCTCAGAACCATCAAGCTACATCCTCAATATTGATGCAAACAATTTGTACGGGGGGATAATGAAACACTGCCCTTTGCCCTTAAACGATTTTTCAATAGTTGAAAAAAGTCTGGCAGACATACTGCTCACCAGCGAAACATCAGAATGGGGTTATATAGTTGAAGTCAATTTAACCATACCCGAAGAGCTTCACGACTTCTTTGCTGATTACCCCCTTGCCCCCTCTCGTGAAGTAGTGGACATCGGTGCAATGAGCAACGAGCAAGTCGACATGTTGGGAAAATTGGGAATCACCACACTGCCAAAAGTGCCAAAGCTTCTACAGACCTTGCATCCTAAAGAAGGTTATGTTTTGCACTACCTTACCCTAAAATTGTACCATGAGCTAGGAATGAAAATAACTCACCTCGGAAAAGTTCTTCAGTTCCGCCAAAGTCACTGGATGGCACCCTTTGTCGACCTCAACACCCGCCTACGAAAAGCCGCGGTAAATAAATTCCAGGAGAACTTCTACAAGCTAATTGTTAATTCAGCTTTCGGTAAGACAATGGAGTCTAAGTTAGGAAGAAAGAAGCTGGAGATTGTAAGGAATGAGAGAGAACTTTTACAAAAAACAGCTCTGAGCACAATGAAAAGCTTTCAAATCATTGACGATCAATTAGCCACAATTAGCTTTTCAGTAACAAAAATATTGTGGGATAAACCTATGATAGTTGGTGCGACCATCCTAGACCTCGCCAAGCGTTTCATGTTTCAGTTTCCCTATCAAAAAATGAAACCAAATCTAAACTTGGAACTCCTTTACTCCGACACGGATAGTTTTATTTACGCCATAAAAACTGATGACGTTTACCGAGACTTGGAGAAAATAAAAGCTGATTTCGACTTTTCAAATTACGATAAGGACCATTTCTTGTTCGAGGATACCAACAAGAAAGTTGTGCTGAAGTTCAAAGACGAGACTGGTGGGAAGCCGATCAGAGAATTCATCGCCCTAAAACCGAAACTATATTCGGTCGTCCTTAATGGTAAATAAAATTTAAGCCACCCTTCCACCCCCCATTCCTACCTTTTACAGAACAAAAATACCACCACCAACCTACCTACACCCCTTAATTTGTTGCATTAAACTATGGGCATTTAGCTGATTTAGGCAACATTATACAATGTTGCCTAAACGTTGATTTATCTGACAACATATTCCCTCTTGTTTCCTCTTTTTTAATCATAATTTAGAGTCTTCTGCTCTTTTTTGGTAAAATGAATCAAATTTTGTTCGGTATAAATTGAGTTGCTGAAGTGAAATGAAGCTATCCCCAACGTTGTAGAAAAGAATAATAATTTTGCTATTGTTTAGAAGGCACTCAAAAATTGAGTGCCAAAGGAATTAAACGGAGTGCACAGAGAGAACTGGTCCACCAAACCTTCAGGGACACATTATTCACTGGAAAAACAATGAGAGTATACAACTATAATATAGTTTCGAAAGGTCACACCAATATGACAGTGAAACAAAACAAACTTGCATTATCACCATTCGACTCAAAACGTTTTCTACTTTTCGACGGAATTTCGACAGTGCCCTTTGGCCATAAAGCCGCTGAAGAAAATGCTTTTCTAGAAGACATTTACATGGACACCGAGTGGGCCAACTCATACAATGAAACTGATAACAGTTCTCCCGATTTTACACTCCCGGATTGGGGATTTTTACAGCGGCCCTACTCAGAAGCAGAGCTGCAAGAAGAAGAAGAAGCTTCTAGTAGCCGAGTCCGTGAACGTCCCCCTATAAAACACCCATTTATTTTATCTGAAGCTTCAGAAGAACGACCATCTAAAAAACACCGCAAAGAAAACCAAAACAATAAACATTAAAGTCTGAAACATATATTTTCAGATGATTTTTACTCTTCGTCCTTTTTATACTTCGACTTGTATATGTTTTGGTTTTTACCAATTTACAACTAATAAAATACTCGTATTGAGCTCAATCACTGTTTTAACATAAATAGCTTCAGGCAAATAAACTAGTAGACACAAACCAAGTGTTAATTCAAACAAATGTGTGAAATCCTTAGGCTTGTTTTGAATAATAAACTTTAATAGCATGACAAATCTTTGACGAAAAGAAAGAAAGCCAGGAAATGATATCCACATGAAACTAGGACGAAAAAAGAAAAGTTCAGGAATTAGGACGATTAATTTTAATTATCGCGGGAAAAGGGACCGCTTTCAAAGGAATTAGAAGGAATTATTGTATCGCGTCCCGGTTGTTGAGCTCAGCTTAACAAGATCCTAAGGAGGGGGTCTTTTACTTTAGGGGTGGGAACTTGCGATCATTTACAAAATCCTAGGATAGGGGTCCTCCAAAAAATTAAGGACCCCTTTCCTAGGATTTTGCTTTACGTGAGGACCCCCCCCTTAGGAAGGACCCCCCCCTTAGGATCCGGGACACGATACAATACTACTGTCCCCCTTGTACTATTTTGAGATATCCATTTTTGGTAACAGACCCTAAAAATTTTCCAAAGGCGCCAACATATACTAATTTTAACGGGGGAGAGCGTGCCAAAAAAACGCAGTTTTTTGGTCAAAAATTTCCAAAAAGTGCATAAAAACACCCTATTTGGCATATTTTTTTTCGAAATTTTTCAAACTCAACTTTCCAATTTCAAAGAAAAAAATAGATGCCCTTTAAGCTCTTTGAATTTCTAGAACAATTTATGATTGTTGCTGTTTTGATCAATAGGTAAAGTTTTTATTTCGCTGGAAATCTAATAATTAAATTCCTCTTTCGAAACTAGAAATTTTTCTCTTTTTTTTTTGCATTTCCACGTTCGTATTTGGAGATTGTTATTTACTTAACTTTCAGCAAATGAATTTAAAATTAACTCAAAAAAGTGCATATACAAATAAGTGCATTCATAGAATGCATTAATATGTATAAATGCACATTTGTAGTTATTAGATCATTTTAAGACTTTTTCCTAAAAAAAAAAAACAAAAAAATCACCAAGACCTGTATAAAAGTCTTCGATACGTTCATTACTCTTCATCAAAACTTTTGTTTGCAATTTGTGTATGAAAAAATGCATATGATATCCGTTCGTGTAAAAAACACTCACTCTTATGTAAAAACAATAACTACAGTTTTTCAACACTAACTGCGCACGGAATTTCTGTGCAACCTGCACAAACAAAAATACTCTTTTTTCAATTTAGTGTTCTTCTCTTCCCAGCGCCTCGAAACGCCTGGTATACTTGGCACCAATATATACAGATTTGAGTGCCATGTTGAGCAATTTTTTTTAATCAAAACCATCAAAAAGCGCCTCAAGGAATAAGGAAAATCCTTGGAAAAAAAAGATTGACTGAGCTGCATCTGTTTTTGAACACAACCAACAGAAAGAACTCGAATTTCACAAAAAAATACATCACGTCATGTTGAGGCTCTTTCAAGACACTTGAAACTTTGATCATGAAACTAACCCAACTAGAGCAAAATTGGTTAATAGGTATTTTTTTTATTCCGCTGGGAATTTATAATCCACTGCGAACCTAAAAGTCATTCGAATTTCTAATTGGAAAAGGAAATACGCCTAGTTTTTAGCAAATTAATTTGAATTTAATTAAAAAGGAAACCAACCGCAAAAAAAAACAAATCTGACCGTGAACAACTTTTTTGTAAGACTATTTTGTCCATTGACACTCAAAAAACGTTTTCGGGAATCTGTAAAATTCAATTTGTAATCTTGATAAATCACTACAAAACTACATTAAATGTTGAATTCTATGTTTATTTTAATGAAAAATTAATTTGACCACAAATAAACAGTTACACGTCAAATTCAAGAAAAGGAGCATGATTAATTGTAATTATAACTCTAGCTGAGAAGACACCACTGGAAACTCATGCAAATAGTGGCTAAATAAGGAGATTGAGTGTTTTAGTACAAAGGCAACCGAGCTATAACGTTTTAATTTCCGCGTGAAGTGATGATTATGGTATCCAAATATAAAGAATTCCCGATCAAACCATATCTAAGGTTGGATAAGCGGTCATCCAATTCTAATTTGATAGCATCTGATTTTAGCACATTTCTTCTCCTCGCTGTGGCCAGTTCGTCGGAGCAATTTGCTTCCATCTTAATCTCTATTTTATTCAAGTCACCTAGAAGAATTTCCGTCGTTCTCCCTGTTTCGGGCCTCAATGCATTTCTATGTACTTCAGTATCTGCGCATCACACCTCGATATCCACTGTGTGTGCTTGTGGTTCTGGTCTCAAAAACTAGCAGCTACTGTTCTTCTCATCTGCGGCATCTGTTTCCGAGGTCGCCTGTGCCTCTGCTTCCTCTGCTAGATCTGACCAATGTCTTCGGTTATTTTCTAGTCCCTCAAGTAACGGCTTCAAACTAGGAAACAGTAGCGCCAGATTCTAAACAAAACAAATAATTAAATCAAAACAAGTTCATTATTCACAAAAGACAATTCAAAATCAAACGCAAGTGATCAGAGATCATAGACAGAACTAACTTTCAACACCTAATACTCAACTCACAAAGCAAAGCTTGGCACAGCTAACAGATGAATTGTACAAAAATTAGACGAATTTACCTTTGACAAGGTTATTTCGAGAATCCTTTGTGATTGACTCTTCTCTCATAAAATTAACCATTTGGAGAAAATTGGATCAATATATTATTTTTTTTTGTCCACTGGGATTTTTAATACTTTCGAAATCAAAATTAATTTAGTGTTTTTTCTATTTCCACTTTGTAATTGGAGAGCGAAACTTGCATTCCTTTTAGCAAATGAATCTGTATTGAACTTCAAAAAAAACCAAGCCAACAGATAATTGGACAAGTGTAATACAAGAAAGCAAACAATTCGAAAATTACTTAAATTAAATAAAAAAGCTCACCTTAAAAATATTTGAATTTCAAGAATTGTTAAAACTTAGCACCTTTTTCCAATATTAGTAATGCAAAATTACATTTTTTAGAATGCAGTCCCGTTTTTCTTGACCTTTACCTTTTTGCTTTTCTACAGCGGAATTTGCCTTCCTTTTAATAAGAACACCACAAAACTTAAAAAAGCAAAAAATAACAGCATACATTTACTATAAAAAATATTCTAGCTGTGATCAGTTTTTAAGCAGTTCTGGTTGCTAAAAAATTTACAATTTTGCCATGTTTTGGATTAATTTATGCGCACTTTGATGAACTTATATATGTTGCTGAAAGTTAAGCGTGAATTATTTTTGCGAGGCGAACTAATGAGGCTAGTGACGTAGTGGATGTAAATTGGCAGGTGACCTCAAACGGTAAGGTGACGTAGAATGACCAGGTAGCCGCCAGAAAATGAGACGAAAGCATTTATTTCGAAGAAAATGTCGAAAGCCAGTTAACATAGTTTAAATAGCAGTAAATAGCTTAAATTGTTAAATTAGAAAACAAAAACATAAAAAATTTTTCTCTTGTTTCGGAAATGAATTTCGGACCCGGAGAATAGTAGGCTCACGTCATCGTATTTGCGCCACGGTCGGATGTAAAATGACCAGACTATCTACCAACAAAACAGCTACAGTTGCTAGTAAATTTCCAATGCTATGTAGCAGAAGGCGGCCATAAATATAAGTAAAACTACTTGGAGGCGCCCATAATCAAACCTCCTACCTCGAGACTAAGAGTCTCACCTCCTAGCAACTGCGCCATGCTTGCTCGGATTTCTATTATCAGAAGACACCGATAAAGCACTTTCAGATGCTTTTAATATGTCAATGCTTGAAAATCTACCAAAGGGCTACCAAATGAGCGCTTTCAATTGCGAGTTGGGTTTAAAAAAAGAAAATGATTCGCAAAAGAAACACTACGCTTGCTAGCTCGTCTGAGTGAAAAAAAACCAACAACGGAGCCGGAAATTTGGGTACACGCCCATCGAGCCAAAAATTTTAAGCTTTAAAGAATTATCAAATGCGAAAATTCAAATCCCGCCAGTTCGTGATAGTCCAGAAGCTGAAGCAACGCAGATTTGAAACTAAAAAAAAACATCATAAAAGTATTAAGGCTTTTCGAGGAATTGAGCATGTCAGCGCGAAATTTACAAACTGTACGTAAAACACTTGCCATCTATAAAATGATGAGAAAAAACAACGCTCAAAACTTTTGAGCACATCAAGAATATCATCAGTAGCTATATTTTAAGGCCGGCGCAAAATGTACACCTAGTTTACCTTCTTCTTGGCAAAAAAAAATCAATTCAACTTACAAGAAATCAAAAATCGGAAAAAAAACTTTTTCACTTCTTTCAGTGACATTTTTGACGAAGTCAACCCAATTTAAGAAAACTGAATCAATAAATAAATTTTTACACAGAGGCGAAACTTGGTTTCGCAGACACTAGCGAGAGCACGACAAAAAGCAGCTCAAGTGCAATAAGAAAAAACAGAAATAAGCCTCGAATTAGCAAAAATTCGGCTACGTCCAGGATTCGATCTGCGAACTAATGCAATCAAGAGATTTTGAGTCTCAAGCACCTACCACTCAGACAAGCACGCTTAACCACCGACAAACACTAGACACGAACAAAGCAGCTACATATGCTAATAAATTGCCAATTCTATTCAGCAAAAGTGGCACCAAATACAAATAGACACAATTTTGCAAGTAATAATTTGGAATATCACAAACTGAAGGCATCCACACTAACTTTGCATGTAACAAATCGCAAAGCATACAGCCCATTATTTATGGCGAAAAATTGCGGATAAATTGAATTGGAAAATTTCTTAAATCGAGTTTTTATTACTGTTATGTTGTTTGAAATAGCTTTGTTCGGTTCATTTGATCAATTAAAAAGCACCAAATCTGTTAATTTAATATTATTCGAATGTCAAAGAACATGCTATCAAAAAGCTATAAAGATGCCCCAAAAATTGGCACCAATACTTGCGACTTAGCTCAGAAAAAAAGAAGGTTCTTAATAATACACTAAGCTGACGCTAGTGTACTTACGCTGGGAAATCTCAAAATTAAATTTCAACTTTGAGACAAGAATTAGATCAAGTTTTTAACACTTTCACTGTATTAAATTGAAGTTCGCCTTCCTTTTATCAAGATAAAGTAACTGAACTTAAAAAACAATTATTATAGCCAACAGACAGTTGGAAAAGAGTCAATGAACGCAATTGAACAAAAAAGTACCGATTTGTTTTTTGAAAAAATCTCAACTTTCGAAAAAAAATTAGATGCCCCTAAAGCTTTTTGAATTTCTAGAACAATTTATGATTGGCACTTTTCCGCTTTTGAAACTAGAAGTCGATCCGCTTTTGAAACTAGAGTCGATCACGATTTTCGTGACCTTCACTGTGGAACAGCAAAAGTGTAAAGGTCACGAAAAACGTGATCGACTCTTGCTGTTCCATGTGTAGTTTGTCTTCCTTCTAACAAAGAAAATTAATGAACTTAAGAAAACAAAAGTCAAGCCGCGAAAAAAATAAATTAGAGCGTGAACAACTATTAACCGGAAGCTAGAATAAGAAAAAAGGAATGATAAAATTTGACCAATGTGAGATTTTTTGGGAGTAAGTCAAGTGCCCGGTAGCAATACCTCCATCCCGATCGCTAGGGTAATCATGAAATATGATCTTTTAACTTCAAGTAGAGCTTGGAAAATAAGTTTGATCAATCCATAAAACGTTCCACATACATTCCATGTATGCTGCATGCCTGTTAAACAAAATCTAAATTAAATGTACTAATAATTTAGATTTTGATTGAGATTCTCTGCATGAAGCTGATTTACAAGTCTGCACAATGCCTCCGGCAAAATTAATAAATAGAAAATAAAAAACTTAGTTGCATCCCGCATGGATTTACTGCGAATAAAAATGAGACACGTTCTGTCAACTCTGCATAAATGAATTCAGTAATCAACATGTGATTCAAGTATACACTGGGGCGACAGCAAAATCAGACAGAAGAATTAGACTCAAAAGATTACTGCTATGAAGTCGCTCATACGTCACACCATCAAACAACGTTTATACCAACGCATAAACCATTGATGTTTTAAATGCGATTTGAATTGATTTGTAATATGAGTGATCGACCATCTTCATTCGTCTGATCTCAAATGAAAGACAGGTCGGTAGGGTTTGGTTGCGGTGGGATGAGGGAGGGGTGGGTGGGATATTTAGGCTGTTTGATAGTAGAACAACTGCAAATGGTGTGTTTGCTTTGTAAGTGTACCTTGTAAACTGGTCCACAGATTTTGTCAATGAAGTTGAGCTGCAGTTGAGGTATCTCGCTCTGCTTCGACCTGTCGAACATCGGCTGAAATGGAACACGAACAAATTTAAACAGGGTAACAACTCTCTCATAAAAAAGAACATGGAAGGAAATACTATTCCCTCATGCAACTTAACTAGTCTTAAACGTAACAGTACATGCTCAGAATATAAGAAAAACAATTATGCATTGAAGATAAAAGAACCCAAATAACTGACTACTTTCACCACCCTATTTCTGGTCATCAGGCTCAAAAACAACATTTGACTACAAAGCTTGAATTCCAATTTTACGCCTTTACCAAATTAAGCTTTCCGATAAAAGAAAAGTGAAATGACTACAAAAGTATTTTTAGCCAAGCAAAAACACTGGAACGATAAGTAATAATAATAATACGCTAGAAGATGGAGTGTAAACAAGTGTGGTCTTACATTGAGCTCTTTGTTGTACTTCTGCCTCTCGATGTCTCCCTGCTCGAAGAACTCCTCCGCTATCATGTTTGCGATCTGAACAAACCAAATCAGTAAAATAAAACTATTAGAACCGGTTATTGAGTAAGTTAAACAAAACATTCCGGCCAAATGATGCTAGAACAGAAACTCAAAATTAAACAAGGATAGCCGGTTACTGAGTGTTGCGACCATACTCATAAAAACCAACAAAAATGTAGGTTTTTCTTTTTTCTCAAATTGAAGTCGTTTTTCGTACGCGGTGTGATGCAAAATTACATTAATGTGTAGAAAGTCAGTGAATTAGGCATAATCGACATCATTTGTCCAAAAAGTGAATAACAAACAAAAAAAACAGGAAAAAAAATTGCCTGAGTAGCGCTAAATTATACTCAATTTTTTCCTAGGAAGCGCTAAATAGGTTTCCTTTTTAGTAAACAAGGTTTCATAATCTAAGATAACGAATGTTTTCGCTCGAAATTCGACTGAAACCGGTTTTTCTCGACACTGGGAAAGGTTTGTGAAAACTTGTTAGTGTCACTCGAATCACGGCTGAAAGGGCTTTACTATGATATTTCACTCGACTTATTTTGATGAGTATTTGTGGTACCTGATTTTGCGTGAAAAACAAAAAAACTAAAACAATTCCGAATCCTAAGTTCCCATTTTCAATGATCGAAACAAAAATAATATAAAAACGATAATTTTTTTGAATATCTGTGTCTGTCTACATTTTCTTTTTTAAAGCAAATTGTGACTAAATAAGGTTAAGAAATGCGAAAAAAAGTAATAATAGCTAAAATGACGTTAAAAATAATAATTGTTTAAATTATTCTGCAAACCGAAGTCGATTTTTACCTGGAACTCCACATGCCAAGGTCTGGTGATGGCTCCCAAGTCACTTGCCGTCATAAGCATGGAGCAAAGCAGCGCGTGATGTGCAGAATCACTGATGTCGAAAGATCCATCCTCAACAAGTTGGAAGAAGGCGTCTCTTTTCTGGAAGTAGAGTGCCAGATCTGTGGATATGATTGCATGCTTGACGCTGGAGACGACCGCTTGCTGTTCCTCTGATCTGAGATTGGCGAGGATGTCGCAACTACTCTCGAGCAGTATGGCCTGGAAGCGGTCGAAGTGGTGGTGCTCCAGGGTGGAGGTAGAGTACAACTGAGCCAATGGCGATTCAGTCCTGAATTAGGAAGCATAAATAGCTATTACCCAGGCTCAACCAGCAAAAGTTAAAAAATTTTAATGACCCAACTATATTTGTTTTTTACATAACTTTTTTTGAATGTCGGAACATGAAAATTCGTTAGCTGAAGAGATAGTTTCAAAGGAAATTCACGGGTTAAGTTTAGACTTTGCTGAGCACATGATTCCAATGTCTTACAATTTCTGGAATGAGTTGTTTGTTCCCCTGTGGTCTAAGTCATGTGAGATGGTGGCAAGGAGGAGTGCCGCCTTCTGCAGAGGGGAGAAGTGGGGGCAGAGGTTTCCTGTGGTGAGGCAAGCGAACATCAGCTGACACACAGAGAAAGCGTGGCGCCAGTTGTGATACGTCACTTGTCTGTAGTTCTTCTTCGTCGTAACCAGCCACTTCACCATAGTCTATACAAACAGCAAAATAAGAATTAACAGCCAATTGTAAACGGCAAAAATTGAATTCTTTCTTCAAATAATTTAAACAAACTTCAAAAGCGCGCGCTTCGTTAGTTTAATTTCTAAGCCTGAAATAAGCAAACAGCCGGCTCTAACTTTAACAAAACAATAACATCACCAAAAAGATCGTCAAGTTTCAATAAACCCACAAAATTGACTTTTTCGGATCAAATAACCTAACTGAAGAAAAATTTAGACTTTTAAATATACTTTAAGTACTTTTAAATATACTTTAAAACTAGTCAGTCAGCCATCACCCCAAAAACTAACAGGAAACTTGTGCACAAAAAAAATAAGAAACAATTTTCAAACGATGCAAGACGAGCCAGTTTTTTTGCAAGAAGTACAGACAATTCAGACCGCGCTCAAAAGAAAACGAAAAATTACTAATTTATTTTCCGGAGAGGTGCGCGAGTTGAGCTAATAAAATCATCTTAGCCAAGAGAATGGGAAGAGTCAATTCAAGGAAGCATGGAAAAAGAACTGATCTTTGTTGCTAAAAGTTCTATTTTTTCTTTTAGTGCAATTTTTTTGGTAGTTGCAGTGGTGTGGTAGCAATTGAGACATAGGGTCCTATATTTGAAAGATCGGGCTCTTCTACCGCTACCCCTCGACAGATATGAAGCTCAATTGTACCGTCCCACCATCCGCGATTTTCTATATTCTTAGTTTTTCTTTACATGCTCCAATTATCATGAACATTCGCAAGTTGGCTAATTAACCAATTACAAACACATTTTTCTTTCGTATAAAATTTGTAAAAACAATGACAACACGGTTGAGCCAAAAGCGGAAGTTTCAGGTTATACCCAAAAGCCGAAACTTATTATAGTTCTTTATGTTCTCATAGTACTTTATCCGGTCATGGTCTATTCATGCATCTGCCCTTGCTTCGTAATCTTCATCCGGGCAGCAAAGTCCGATCAGATAATTGAAGCTATATTTACACAGACACCTTTCGCATTCCCTTCCACTCTTATCTCATTCGATCACATTTGGCACAAGGTCGCATTCAAAGCAGACATGAAACAAGGCGATACTATGAATGCGAAATGTCTTTAATTCTCAAAGCAAAAGAAGGACGATGACGAAGGACAGGGTGTTATCAATGTTTTAATTACCTTTTCGTCTGTTTTTAGCACCCTGATTAGGTCCAATTCCCTGAACATAGCAAGCGCATACGACAAAGTATCTACTTCAGACAACTTCAGTTCATCTAATTTGAAGTTGTAGATATGGCGAACAAGTGTCTTTTTCCTCCACTCCCCACCTCCACTCAAAGCACAGTCCGAACACACCCAATTGGTATCCCCATCCTCTTCCTCGTCACACACCTCAGCGACAGAATGCCTCAGTTTACGGGGATGAGGAGGGGCTGAGATCTTCCTAGACTTTACTAATGCCTTTTCTTCCTGTGACTCCGTTATCGGAATGGGCTGCGACGTTTTCTTCTTGGAATTGTTAACTCCAGAAGAGATGGTTTTGAGGGATTGTTTGTTTGATTGAGGTTGAGACTTTGCCGTGATTTCACTCAGCGACTGGGCTCTGTCTCTATCCTGTGAGTTGTCGTCTAGTTCAACCTGAGAGGAGGCGGGAGAGGAATCCTGTCTTGGCACGAAAGCGAAACTACTCCTGTTCGTACTCGTTGCGGACTGACTCGGATTGCTTCTAAAATCGAAGGAGTTGTTTTCGACATCGCCAACTCGGTTTGTGAGGTTCATTCGTGACCTGGAACTGCCCGAGGATGCTGCCGAGTGGTATGCATGGGAAAGCACTGACTTGACCTCTGCATCACTCGCTTTTGTGTAGTAGCTCAACATCTAAAACCACTTAACATTACATTTAAGTCAGTCTAAACATTATTGCTGCAAAACAAAGCTTGTTTTTAAACGTTTTTGTTTCCATTTAAAATGCATACCTCCATAGACACTTTCTGTTTGTTGGACAACTCCACGCTGTCCTCGTAGGTGCGTGTATTCGAAATTCCCAAACCACAGAAGATCACAAACGCTTCCACAAAGTGTTCGTCTGTTTTTGTGAACCCACCCTCTGGTTTGTTCACCAGCTGCACACACCCTATCAACTCCCCCTTGCTGTTGCGGATACCGGAGCACAGCACTGAAGAGGGGCGAGAAGCACTTGATGATGAGTCATCGCCATTCTCAGAAGAGGTCCAGTAGGGTTCCACTGATGGGTCTTCCATGGGAGAGGACAAATTGACCATCTGGAAAAGCAGCCCATACAAGGTACCCTTACAATCATCAGGATGGGGCGAGAAATGTTTTTTCATGTTTTTTGTTCATATTGTTTGAACTTTAAAAAATGTGTACAGATATGTTTCTTTTTTCACTCCAATTTATCATATTTTTGAAAAGTCAATTATTATACTTTTTCATGTGTGGGTGGGGAGTAGTCTGATAGTATAGATATTCATCAGATAACTTGGATTTTTGTATCTCAAGCTTGTTTTCAATTCACGTGGTAGCATATTTTCCCTGTTCCTTGCCTGCTATGAAATGGAAATAATAAGGGAAGCTTCGCCATTCTATTTTCCGGCTGATGTAAGAATAACTAAAACATCAACCAATAGGAAATATGGGTAGACATAGTGACGCCTCGTTTCCTTCATTGCTTCCTACCCCTTTCGTATTTGATTTCTATTGAAGGTAGAGTGATACTACGCCGCATTTGCAATCAAGGAGCATTTTTAAAACCATTTTCACTAAAACTCTGATAATAATAGTTATTATAATAAACTTTTTTCCAGTACAGGTTCACATTGATCGATCTAAGTTATCTAAATGATCACTTAAAAGAACCCAGTCAGGGAGATCGTCAGTATATAAATGAACAATCTAAGCGCAAAAATTAACATTATTATAAAAATTAGTCCAAGAAATTTTGATGAGAATGTCCAAATTTTGATGAGAACTGACCAAAATCTGCCCGTATAAATCGATGATTACCCCAATCTTAACGTATTGCATCACCCTGTTTATCACTATCATCGACCAATAAACTGGAGAGCTTCGAAAAACGTATCCTGGAGTCGATAACAGCTGATCGTGTATCAAGCTACAAAGAATTAACGTACAATGAATTAACGACAAAGACAAAAATTTAACCTCTAACAAGGTTCTTTCAACTACTGAATCTGCTGTATCTATTAAAACTATATAATGAACTTCTTGGACAGATTGACTTTCAATTCATAGCAATAAATGGAAATGAAAGATCGCGAGCAACAAATTTTCTTCTCCCAAAAATGAGAACTGAAAAAAGGAGAACAGCTTTTACGATTAGACTAGCCGACTACGTCAAATGCTTGAATCCGAAACGATTAAAAGAAAGATTGCTGAAAGATTTCTGGCAATTCTTTACAAGTTCCAACGAAAACTGTATATGCAGTTGGCGAATTGCCTGCGACTGTCAAAATTGCAGAAACACTTGTAGAGGTGTTTTAAGACAATTAGGGAAGAAGTTCTATCAGCAGAAATCCTAAAAATCCATAATAATAATAACAACAAAACGAAGGCATTATAGAAAACCGATATTGAGAAAAGATAAGAATAATAACTTTATTAACGGATTTTTTCCTATTAAAACAGTCTCTAGAAACTTATGGAGAAAGTTGCTAATTTCATTCTGTATCATTTTGTAAATCAATTCACCAAAAGTCGAAAAAAGATTTATGAGTCAGCTGTAGAATTTTCGACTTCTTGTAACAATACGCATTCACCGGATGATTATTATTCACCGGATGATTATTTTTCTAAGGGTCACATTCATATTCACCGGGAATAATTTAACATAGAAGTTTTAAGAGTTCGCATAAATGAAGGTCTTATTCGCTATATATTTTTCATTTTCCCCCGCAACGATTATACTGATTCAGATTTTTCTTGAAGGCTACGCCTCCTGTTAATCTGTTGACATTGAGATTGATCTTGTTAAAGTTTGATTTGGAAGTCGGCATTATTTTGAATAACAGGTTTAGAGGCTGGTAAAATTGGTTTGTTGCTGTTCATTTAGAATCTTGAGTAGCTGATAAATGATTCCAATTAATTTATTTAGCTTCGATTTAACAACTTCACTGTTAACGCTGAAATCTATTCTTTTATCGAGATACACGCCCAGATATTTGAAAACAGAGTTTTAATCAATGTCTTCATCGTTCATTTCAATTGATTAGTTGATGTTTTCATTCCGTTTTGTGAAGCTAACTGATTTAGTTTTATCTAACTTGAAAGTGAAATAGCTTTCGTCCAACCATTCCTTTGCTTCAATTTCATGGTTTTCAATCAGTATTGATTTTTCAGACTGAGATTAAATGGCTGCGTCATCGGCATAGAGACAGGCGCCTGTGTTTTCAGTCATTTTTGGTATTCATTTATAAGCAATCAAAAGTAGTGGTCCTATAAATGCGTTCTGCGGGATTACGCATTTTATTTTTAATGATGATTTGATTCTGCTGATGCTTACCGACTATTTAAATTCTGATAAACATGAAGCTAGAACAACATATACTGGTCCTCTTGTACCGCAATCACATTATTTAAAAGAAGCTTATGATCAACGATAACATACGCTTTTCTTAAGGCAAGAAAAGTATGCTAAGTTTCAATGGTTTGGTTGTACCAGCCAAATCTGAAATCTTGTACTGAAGAAGCAATAGCTATAACTGTATTTCGGTTTGAATCCGAAATGAGATTGATGTAGTAGTGAGGGATTGAATCTGAACTTCGGTTGTAAATTAACCGTTCTAGTAATAACCAAATAACCAAAGTAAAATTTAAAGATTCAAAATCAGAGATCCTTTTCGCAATAATTAATGGGCTCGAAAAGACTTCATTTTTGCAATACTAAATGGGCTCAAAAAATGTTTTCAGAACACTTTTGAAACAAAACAGTCAGTACAGGCTCCAATAGCTCTCGTATCGAAAAACCACGAACCTCATTGATATTGTGGCAATCTAGGCTGAATTTCTTTTTAGAAATTTCCAAGCTGTGGTTTAATTTTATTGGTTGTCAACGGTACAAAAACAATGACTTAACTATATCGTTTTTGCTGTTTCGTTTGATGCGTGATTTATGACTTTTGCTAATTCTCGCCTATATTAAAAAAAAATCAATTGTTGAATGAATCTTCATCATTATTTATATTCTCTGCGTTTGTTATTAACAGTTCCAGTAAGGTTATTCAAAAGAAACATTCATTTTGTTCTTTGCGGCTTGCTTCTGCAGTTTGGTGTTGAAACCTTTTTTTGCTATCGATCTTTGGACCCGAAGATTTTGCAATTTAATTTACCTTAGCTTCTGCACTCCCATTTTTCATTAAGAAATACATTCTTATGCTATTCTTCTTGCCAGCATTTTAACTTGCTTGTCATTCCAATAAATCGTGCCTCCATTTACCAGTTTTGGTTTCTCAGGAATAAATTTAATCGAATTGTCAATAAGGAATGCGTTTAGTTGAGTAAAAATCTTTCAAGCTAATTTTTACAGTTCAAAATCATCTATTTTTTAGTAGGTACCACTGTCTAGAGATATAAGATTTCTCAGTTCGATTTCGTCATATTGAAACGATTAACAAAAAAAAATGATCGGAAATCGATGTTTTCTTTGCTGGAAGGCTGCCTTTTTGAGTTGGAAAATCAAATCTTGGTACGATTTTGATTTCGTTGATAGAGTTGCTGGTTTTGTTGTGTTCATGAAGAAGATTTCAATCCCTATCATTAAGATACTAGTTTAATTCCATTTTGTGAGAATATCAAATAGTTTGCGGAACTTTATTATAAACAGTACACGTACTGTTTATAATAAAGTTTCCGCAAACTATTTGATATGATCCTGCGTCAACCACTAATATACCAAAGAGCGGTTACAATTTGATAAGGTTCTGGTTATTGACTCCACTCGGTGGAAATTATATACAGGATAAAATTATTTTATTTTTACAGTTCACTTCCTTAACGATTCTAGCAATTGAAGATACTGTCGTTAAATTTTGTTTTATCTGATATCGAGTATCCACACGCACGAAGATCCTACACCACCGCCTTTTTTCTTCCTATCACTAGTTTCAATGCTTGTAATCATTTATTTGAAACAGAGTTTTGGATCTTCCGGTTTCAGCGATGTTTTCGTTAAAAACTACCAAAGGTTAATCCTGCAATAGTTAAATTTGAACCTGCAGCTAATCGATGATTTTCTATTCTAATTGAGCGAATATTTTGAAATCAAATAGTATTATTAGTATTTTTGTTTCTCCCATAATGTCAACGTTGGCCCACATGATTTGATACAGAAATTATGTAGTGCTTTTTTCCCTCGACCCAGTTTATCCTCCGCCTTCAAGTTTGTTCTGTTGAAATTTTTTTTAAGAGTGTCTGAAAATGGATAACAAATAATTAACATTCTAAATTTTAAGTTAACAATTTCAATATAAAGAAACTACATTAACACAGGGTTAGTCAGAGAATCGCAACACTTAAGATACATTACAACAGCATGGCAAGATAACACACAGGAACGTAGACAAAGTCGACGAAAAAAAAAACTGTTGTCTAACAGTAAAAAAAAACTGTTGTCTAACAAGCGCAAGTGTAATTAAATCAAAGGATATGTAACATAGAAGCGTAGAGGAGCTTGGTATCGTTTGAGATCCACAAAAAAAACTGAAGAACCATTGTATAACGGAGCATACTCTATAGCTCCGTAGTCAAAACATAGCCAAATAACTCAAGGTAATAAAAAACGATTGGCATTTTTTATACTTTGGAATAAACAACCGATCAGGTTAGCTCTTTCAATTCAGAAAAAAACTGGCCCAAATTGGTTCAGCGAGCTTCGCCTTATGTCCGACACAGAAAAACAAAATTCAAGATATAATACAATATAAAAAGGAATTATGTGAAAAAGAAAATTTTCTTAATCATTAGCAAAAACAACTTTGTATAGCAAGTATACAAGCAAACAATTCAGTCTAACTCTATAAAACTTTTAACTGGGTTGAATTGCAATGAAGTGCCCAGAACACAAGAGATGCAACTATTTTTATATAAAACATTGATGAAAAAATCTAAAAATCACTGTTTACTGATTTATTTTTCGAAAAGGACAAGTTTTAAGTAATAGCTGTCAAGTTTTCTGAAATTTTAAAAACAAATCATAAAAAACGTCATTTCTAATTAATTACAAGAATTTCAGCAGTTATATTTGAGGGCAAAAATTGCAAGCCCCGAGAGTAACCTAACAGCGCCCAACTACAGAATTTTGAATTTCAAATTTTGAAAAACTTTAAATTCAGGTTTTTGAAAAACCAGCAATATTGTTAATCTCGTAAACTAAAAGGTTTTGCGTATTCATAACTGAAGGCCAAATTCGCAACCCCTGGGGAAACCCTGAAAACATCTTACCATTTTGGTGGCTTATTTAAAACGTGTTGAAACAAACACTGAGCTCAAACTGGAAAAAAATCTGAACCATTGCAATATACGATATAGCTTAAACGTGAAAAAAATTCTTTCGTTTAACATGCAAAAATAATAAGTTGGAAAAACTTGAACATGGCGACATAGTGAAGCCCGCAATTAAATATATAAGGGATAGATGTCGAAGCCGAGCGAGTCAAAGCCGACCGATCTCAGCGCCGAAAAGCTCTAAAACTTCAAAATTCGACATTTTGAACGTCCTCCCCTTGAAGCACTCACACGCATTAAATATATTTGTGCCCTTGAAACTACGCGATTTGAGACAACTAAGCCGCTGTATTAGCCGAATAAGCTTTTAAGCTAAAGCAGAACCAACGACACAAAATTGGAGCTGGTAAGGGTACAAATTACAGGAAATAATTAAAAATACTTACAATTGTGGCGAAAATTGCTTTTATCAATGGAGAACTCCACGCCGAGGAAAAGAATCCGACAATACGCAATAAGCAGACGAGCGATACACCGACAATTAAATGTTCCACTGAACGACTAGGGTTACAGTTCTTTGCCAATATTTCAGTGGTAGGAATAAAAAAAATGAAAAAGTTAAACAACTTTACCGGCTAGTATAAAATGTATGGTAAAATAACAATTGTAAGATACTTCATTAAATACCAATTTCATTTTTTCTCACCGATTCGGGGGAAGATGTGTTCATGCACTGGTAGAGAATATTGTGGTAGAGGGGAAACGAGGTAGAAGAGGGGACAGGTGAGAACGAGGTGGCCTTCCGAGACTGCGGGGGAAACGGGGAGGTTGTGTAGTTTGAATCCTCCTCGATCAGTTCTCCAAACTGGTCCAGATCAGAAAAGCTCATGTGGAATGTTTTCGATCGGCTCAGCTGAAACAAAAAAGCATCGCACTTAACCCACCGACCAAAGATAGCGCTGCTTTTGTGTCATACGAGATCACATAATACAGAGAACCAATATTACAATTTCTCTACCATTTAGTCATAAATTGCCTTCATGAAATGTGAGCCTAAACGCTAAGTGTACAGTCAATTTTGCGTAAAACCAGATCCGGTTAATCAGGATTTCGTCTTATCGGCTTTTTTTTTTTTCTGAGGAATTAGAATTAGCCTGAACTTGCTTTGTTGTAAACGACTTCAAGTGGATTTAGGAAATACGCGTTCATACCAAAGATTGCTCAAGAGCTCGGTTGCCGATATCATTGGGTTTTGCAGTTAGGTTGCCTTGGGCTGTGTAATTGCTGCTCGTGTTGGTCAGAGGGTTTGCATCGGAAGGAGCTGGGGTGACGTTGGAGGGGAATATGGCGACAGAGCACCTCTCACATTGCATGAAAGAGAGTAGTTGTCGCATGATGCGAGTGACCAGTACCTCCACAGTGCTCTGCTCTTCAAACACACACTTGGCCATCTCCAGCAACACTTTACTTCGCTTGCTCTCCAGCCGAGACCTACTCAGACACAGAAAAACATGTCATAGAAAGAAAACAGATCATCTATAGTCGCTATATCTATGCTCTAATTATAGACCAAAGAAGGGTACATAATTTACCCAAGTGAATTGGTTTTCGATATCTCCGCTTAGAAGACTGAATTATGCCATAAACCTTCCTTTCAAGGTAAGTTAATGAGAAAAAAATCTATCATCCCAACCTTCTCTTCCATCACCTTTCTCATTATTTTTTTGCTAAAAAAATTGCATGGTTGCCATGCCCAATATCTAAGTTATAGTAACAAAAAAAGACGGAAATAGTTACTATTGAATTGAGAGACTTTTTCAAAGATTGACAAATACTAAGAATAAGATGGCTTTCAGGCTCTTAAAAAGTAGTTTTCTGAACTGGGCAGAACTGATTTGTAAGATTATGATTATTGTATTTAAGGAAATATTCACAACAACAACAATTCTCCGTATCTTCCGAACAGTTTTCAACTTTGTACAGAGGCAAAGCTGAACAAAATGAAACAAAAAACAATCCCTAAAAAAAGAAATAAGAACAGGTAAACAAAAGCTTTGATAAATATAACTTGTTATGTCAGATTCCTACTTCCAACCTTTAGATTCAGAATCTCGCATCTGCGCCACGGGCCCTTTAAAATTTCCTACTTCAGCCACCAATAAAGCAGCTATATATGCTAATAAACTGACATTGCTATGCAGCACAAATGCCAGAAAATATCAGTTAAGGGCAGCCACACTAATTTTGCATGCAATAAAATTGAACCATTAAGGTGATTTGCGTATAAATAATGCATTTCGTAAGTTTCGCGAAATATAATGAGTTGGAAAACTTCTAAAACGTAGTTTTTTCTATCGTACTGTTGTATGGAACAATTAGCTTTTTTCGGTTCAATTGATGATTAAGACTGCATCAACTAAATTAAATCATTACGAATGTCACAATTATGTCATTAAACTGCCAAGCAGCTTGCTTCAAAGCATCACCAAAAGTAACGACTTCGGTTGGAATCAAAAGATTCCTTGTATTAAAACACTACGAACCGCGTGCTCCAAGACAGAAGCGAACTGTGACACTGTTTCTGACACAGCATACATAAAATTGCAAGCTACCAACCCGAAAAAAAAACGATAAAGCCTGGAATTATGTTCTATCTGAGACAACCACGTCCGTGAATACCTTCACCGGCGTTAAATAAGTCTTCAGAAACAGTTGATGAGCGGCATCGAAGCCCACAAAATTGAGCTCCCGTTGATCCGAACATAAAAAAAAGGAAAAACTCCGTGGAAGCTAGAAAATGATTTATTATAAGCCAAGGTGATTCAACGTATGATTCAACCAATTTTGTTAGACAAAATGGTAAACCGAAAAAAAGTATATACAGATTTGAAAACGCTTGCACTTCACAAGCGTTATTAACAATGTTAAACGGATTTTTTAAACACCATCTGAAAGATATCGATGCCCCGAGCTCTAACAAAAAAATTTGGCCTGTGATTCATTTTCGCAAAATTATTGGGGCTTTGAAAAATGCCTGTTGAGGAAATAAATGCACGCGAAACTTGCAGTTTTCTGATATCGCGTAGGAAACTTTTAAACCGCTCCATCTTTATTTGAGACTTGCTAATTGATCCAAATAGGGCTCTTTTTATATCTTCCGCCCAAAAATTATTATTTCAATCTCTTGAACTGAAACTAATTTGCTTCAATCTGATTGGCTAGAATTAGTCGATCAAACTTCAGCACCTTCTCAAAATGTTTTATGTCAAAATAAGCCATATTAGTTGCCAAAAAATAGAATGTTTGGTAAATGATTCAAATATATTTCAAACAAGCTTTACCTGTTGTACAATTTGGCATTCATCAGACAAATTCCACAGAAAGCAAGATACGTTCTGCATAATCTGGCATCCCGCGCATTAAATGCTTCAGTCGGTGGCTCACAGCCATTCGTCCGTAGTTCTTTGGTAACATCCAGCGATGTCGTCATGTTTTGGGGTTTTCGTTGCTTGTTGATGACCTGCGCCACTCCAATCACTTCTTGACTGACATTCAGGACAGGAACGCATAGCATGTTGTTAACTGCGTAAGAAGGGGGAAGGAGGCCATCGTCAGTTCCTCGTAGAAACCTCTCGTCCTAAACACAGTTACATTATTCACGCACAAAACCACTGTTCTGACTGCCGTTTCTCGAACATCAAGACGACTTAGCTTCAAATTTGCATATGCTTCAACGTAGGAGTAGGAGATTAGATAATCAGTAGCCGATTAATGCTTTTAATGCCCGCAGCACTCGAAAAGTAGCGCAGTTGCAAGAGTGCCAAGCCAGAAAGGCCCAATGTTATCCGCCTCCTCAAGGTGGGAAAGTGAAGGGCAAAACGAATGTCTCTCCTTTTTGCCCTTGCCATTCCCACTTTGGGGCGGCCGGAGACATTGGAAACCCTCAAACCGGGACCTCGCAAAAGCCTGTTTTGGAAATAATTTTTGGACAATTTTTTTCCAGTGCTGCAGTGGGTAGCGCCAAACAAGGCCGTAGAAAGAGAAAGCGAACAATTCTGTAATTGCTTCTGGCATCAATCAAAATACCAAAATAATCCCTAACACTGGCGTCCACAATTTTTGCAAGTAAACAATTATTAAGCAATGAACAAAATTTATGTGATTTTTTATTTTAATTCTAAAATCAAGGTTAAATTCATTAGCAAGTTGGAAAGACACTAAATAATTCCAGAAATGGTTTGTTTTTCAGCAATCTGAAACATTCTAGCTTTTGGCGTTCTTGTACTTCGACACTCTTGAACGCACCCTACTGAAGCAAACAAGAACTTTCAAAAGCAAAGAGGGCGGGAGCCTAAAACAGATTTACTTCAAATTTCTTTTTCAAGAAAAACCTGATTTTACTCGACCGTTTACACAAAGTTTGAAGTAGAACAACCGATTATCACTTTGCTTGATGGTGTAAAAACATTCACAGCCCGGATCGCCCATACAAGCTCCCCCTCACAATAGACCTAATGGGGATCAAACTATATTTTTTCGAAATTGAATTTCGGGTAAAATAAATTGATCTAATTGATAAAAAATAACCAGAAAATTTGAAAAAGTGTAGAACAAGAAAACCGAAAAAAAAGTTAATCAAATACTCACAAACTTTCTGCGCTTTTCAAGATGATGAAATATATCAGGTTAAAGCTCTTGAAGAACTGAAAAAAATTCTCATGAAGAAAAATGAAAACTTGACATTTTATGGTTATTACAAAAACCGTCTTATCTCTTAAACTGAAAAGATTTGGGCATTCTTAAATGGAGGCCGAATTTGTAACCCCTGAGATTACTCTGACTGCCCCAATGTACAGGTTAGGAATTTCAAACTTTGAAAAACTTCGGAGAAATCATAAATTTCGGTGAAAATAATAAAAAACGTCATATCTCGAAAACTAAAAGGATTTGAGCAGTCATATTTGGAGGCGAAACTTGCAAATCCTGAGAGTACCTTGACTGAGCTTCACCACAGAGATGCGAATATCAAATTTTGTGAAATTTTTTATATCTAAGTTTTCTGAAAAATTTTATTAAAAAACCAAAAAAAACGTCATATCTCGAAAACTGCAAGGATTTGAGCTGCCATAATCAGCGGCAAGTTTCGCAACCGCTGAGAATACCCTCACAATATCCAACAACAGGAATGAGATCTTCAACGTTTTGGAATTTTTTAAAATCTAAGTTTTTGAAAAATTTTTGAAAAAAATCATAAAAAACTACATATCTCGGAAACTACAAGGATATGAAAAGTGAGATTTGGAGGCAAGATTCGCAACATCTTAGAGTACCCTGACAGCACCCATATACAGGGTAAAAACTTCAAAAATTGATTTCTAAAATTAAATTTTCTAGAATTTTTTTGAAAAACCTCGAAAATTGCCTATCTCGTAAATTTAAAGGATTTGGTTATTCATATATGGAGGCCAGAATCGCAAAGCCTGGGAAAACTCTGACAACATCCCACTATTAGATTGCTAATTTCAAACTTGATGAAATAAACATTGAATTTAAACTGGAAAATCGAAAAAATACCTTAACCATAGCAATATACGATATAGCTTAAACGTGATAAAATTCTTTTAATAAACATGCAAAAATAATCCGTTGAAAAAGCCTAAACATGACGAGATAGTGAAGCCCGCATTTAAATATATGATAGATTACGATCCCTAAATAAGTTGTATATGTAAGATAAAAGCGGTACAACAAAAGGAACTTAGAAATGGTAATTTACTAAATTGTCCATACTGAGAACGAAATTTTTACGAGAAAAAGTCTAGTACCCGGTTGCAATCTCAAGGGTAATAAGAAACCCTAACTTCCAATCGAGGCTCAAATTTTCTAATTTACAGAACTCGAACACAGAATTGTTCCAGTGATTGATTTGCTGAATGATGCGATACATAGTTTTTCTGATGTTTACGGTTCTTTTATTTACATTGCTTTAACAGATGTAAATGATATGGAAAAGCTTTGAGTTTAGTTGAACCACAATAATTTTTGAGTTTCTTGTTCATCAAAATTGGGGCTCGCTGGTTTCTTATAAGTTTTTTTTACATCAGTTTTTGAGCATCAGTTTCTTATAAACGAACTAACTGTACGAAAAATCGGAGGAATCGCCATTCACGGATGCGTTTAATGAAAAGTGACCTCTTAGTTGATTGCTGGACTAATTCTACGTTCCCTAATCCAACTGTCAATTGTGATTAAAGAACCATTAAGTTTGCTTGGCAAAAGAAACGATTATTGATTCGATCCTTTTGAAACAATGTCCCTTGTTCTCTGCAAACACGATCAAACGATCCATTATACCATTCATGCCAGCAGCACTGGCACATTATGCTCAAATGCCAGATAGAGTTCACTAGAATTCGTATTTGTTTTATCTTGATTAATACCTACTACTTCGCATTCGCTTATCAAGATAAAAGCTACCAAATGAAAGTTGAGAATTCCATTGAGGCAGAATATGAATAGTAATCTGATTCTGAATCTGACGTGATCAGCGCACAGTAACTAACAAGAATAAAAAATTAGAAGAAATGCTATAAAATGGTGCGTTTACCTCATTCACATCTTGTATGTTGATGAGCTCTCGGCACTTTGCTACAGTTCCTATCACTCCTACGCCTATGGGCACTCGCAGATACCTCCCACTTTTGCTTTCAACGTCCTCCTCATTTGAGACTCCGTTGTCCACCCCTCTTGTGACGTCATAAAGGGCATTGACGAGGTAGTTGCGGTCTGATTTTTTATCACCTTCTACCAAGTAAAGAAGTGCTCTGTCTGCGTTGATTAGGGCGCAGAGATGTTGGAGGATTTTGTGACACAGCAGTCGGTTGTCTAGTTCGTTGGCTATGTCCTTCACTAACTCAGCCAGCAACAGTTCCTGGTCGATCACCCCCATGTTGGAGGCAATGGCCTGTTGCTTGCTTAATTTACTGTACATTTCCTCGTCAGAACAGTCGACTTGGTCTGAAACCAAAACACGATCTTTAAAACTCAACACGACAAAAATAGAAAAGCTAACTCTCATTAGGCAATCGTATCAGCTATGCTTAATGAAATTTCAAACCAGATAATACATAATTGTTTGATACGTCATCGGAACAACAAATCTTTGGTCGAAAGATCATCCAGTCCTGCTGCAAAGCTAAGTTACGAACGCCTATAGGCGCGTTGGAAAAGTGCTACTAACTTCTTTTTTGTTTAAAGTAAAAACTATATTTTCCCTTAAAACAACAAAATCGGAATACAGCAAGAACCTTAATAAATTTAAAGAACCTTAATTAGTGATTGCTTCTTGGTATTAACAATTCAAATTAAGAAACCCGCATAACAGGTTACCTTAATATTCTCATTGGGGTGCGATTGAGGGAATTTTCAAATAACTCAATTGCAATTCAATGCGGGCTTTCCAAATTCAATTCAATTCGTTTTTGAAAAACAATTTTTATCCTCTATTTCATTTCACATTGGGTGGCAAGTTTGAGATGACTGCATTTCTGGTTAATCTTAATAGAAAACCAGAAAGACTTCAAAATATTCTTAATAAAATCCGACAAATTTCACTAACTCTTTTCAAATGCTCTGCTTTTTTATATTCATGGGTAACAATGGGGGTTGAAATTAAGCTCCAAACAGAATAAATGAACTGAAAATAATGAAAAGTTGTTCACAAGTCAAGTTGATAGTAAAGGGCAAACATAGCCAACAGACAGTTGGAAAAGAGTCAATGAACGCAAGTAAGCAGAAAAAACGGATTTATTTGTTGAAAACAATCTCAACTTTCGTATTCCAAGGCAAATAATTGATGGCCTTAAAACTCTGAATTTCTACAGCAATTTATGATTGACACTTTTTTTGATAAAATTCAATCGATTTGAGAAAACTGGATCCATAGGTAAAATTGGCTCTTTTCCAGTTCCCCCCCCCTTTCAAAATACCGAGTTTTATTTTTGTTTCAAGTGTTATTATGGCTAAATGCGTGATGCTACGATGTAAAGTATGAAGAACAAATCTGTTCACAGTTGTCGATTTGTTCACCACGCCAAATTTCATTGCATTATGACAACGTTAAATAAGCTTTTCAAAATTGAATTTGAAAGGGGGGGAAACTGGAAAATAGCCGTAAAATTTTTTACTTCGCTGAAAAAATTCTATAATTAAATCCCTTTTCGAAACTAGAGGTCAATCACGTTTTTCGTGACCTTCACACTTTCGCTGTTCGATAGTATAGTCTGCCTTTTTTTTATTAAAGGAATCGAATTAACTTTAAAAAAGTCAAACTCAAACCGCGATAAAGTAAATTTCTGCCTGAACAAATTTTAAGTGCCTGAACAAATTTTAAGACTTTTCCTGAAAAAAAAATCGAAAGAAAATCATCACGACCCAAAAATCATCAAGACCTATATAAGAGTCTGAACTACGTTCATCGACTCTTAAAAATCAGTTTGAAAACCAGTTGAAACAAAGCCTGGAAAGCGAAAATCTTCGACATTGTCAATGAGTGAAAGTTTTCGAATTATCTTTAAGAAATGAAACCACGACCAAAATTACTTCAATTTGAATCATACTTGGCCTCTTTTCTTTGAGGCAATCAGAATTGTCTAGAAATACCTAACCTGATCAAAATAAGCCATAATTCCTTCTACTCTACAACTGTGAACGGTACAAAAATACACGAAGTTCAAAAGCGCTACATCAAAAAACATAACCAACAGACAGTTGGAAAAGAGTCAAGGAACGCAAGTATACGGACTTACTGACTTGTTTTTCTTGAAAAATCCAAATTTTGAATTTATAAGGAAAAAACAGATGTTCTTTCAATTTAAAAAGCAATTTATGATTGAAACTTTTTTCATGAAAACAACCAAACTTGAGAAAATTGGATCAACAGGTAAACTTGTTATTCCACTGGGAAATCTGAAAATGAAAAGAAAACTTTTTCGAAACTAGAAGTCGATCACGAGTTTCGTGACCTTTGCAGACAAATCTGAGACAAATTTTTAATCTTTTCCTAAAAAATGTCCGAACAAAAATCATCGACTCTAAATTAAGAAAAATTGTATGTCACCATAGGAAGAAGTCGAAAAATTGAAAGTCTGATGAAAAGTTAGCCAGGTGTCAATGAACAAACACTTTTTGTGAAAATTCTGCAAAATGAATTTAGCTCTATTATATTACGCAACAAGCAAGGCGCTCAGAGTTTGATTAGGGAACTTTCGTGTGTTCATACGCAAGTCATGAAAAGATCAGGACGTGAAATTTGTTGTATGAACAAAACTAGTTAATCTGCAGCGTACGAAAATCGACGTGAAAAAATTATTTACATGCACGCTCGCAAATATGCTGTAGAGGTAGTTTGAAATGAATTTTAAAGTGAGAAATCTGTTTTAGCAGTGAAAAAGAAGCATGAACACAAACTTTTTACTGACTAAAGCATTTTAGCAACTGTTTTTCCACCACTCACTCGGGAAATTAATTCACTATCCTCGGGCCTAGGGGCCCTCTGATAGTAAATTAATTCCCTCGTGCGCGGAAAAAACAGTTGCGAAACTACTACATGAATCACTCTAAGACCAGTGCAATTTTGTAATGCAAGTTTGATTTCGGATTATGACGTTTTCTTTTTCCCAATGGCGAATGCTTATTTTGGGAGCGTTGGCAAGTGGATAGATTCTCGGCCTCTCTCTCTCTCAGAATGTTAAGTTTGGAGGCCCACAATGATTCGTGCTCGCTGCTAGATGGTGGAGCTACAAATTCAAAAACAACAGAGGTGAAGCGGAGCTGCGCATTACTTGCGATACAAAACAAAAAACATCGAAAACAAAAAAAATGAAAAATGTTGAAAAAATTGGGTCTACCAAAATTTTCATAAGTTCTGATATAAGTTCATTCTAAGCAAGCATGCCAAGCAAAACATTTGAATATTAAACTAGCAACAAAATGAACCTAAGCAACGAAACAAACTAAAGAAGTCCGACAATTCAGTTTTCACCGGAAAATTTTTCAATTTCATACATACTGTAAAAAACAAGGTCCCGCCGCGCCTCGAACTCCAGAAAATAGGCTGCAAATGCGACCACCTTATCTCTAGGCCAATGGGAAAGAACCGAGGTTCAATAACACAGCAAGTAAGACAAGCAAGTCAGATTTGTGAGAAAAGTTGTTTGCAAGAAAAAAGTCTAGTTCCCAGTTACAAGACACTTGCTCTGGCAGGTGTAATTAAAACAATATGAAAGAACATGGAAAATACGTGCATTATTTAAGCAGCCATTGTTAGGAAGAAAGAAAGACCCAGGAAACGAAACGCCATTAGGATGATAAAGGTGCCTTTAAAATGAAAATGAATTGACAGTGAATTCTTGTGAGTTATGTCAAACTTTTACCAGGTATTTGTTCCCAAATACGATCAATGTTTAGGCGTCGTAACTCTGAAACACAATCAACTAGAAACTTCTTTAAAACTTCAAGAAATTTAAGTTGATAGTCTCTTAAATGTTCAAGAATGTACAAGAAAACCGACAGTGAAGTGGCTAAGGTCTCAACCATGCTCATTGCTCGTAAGTAAGGCAAAACTTGGCATTCCAGGAAAAAATAAAAAAACCCGTCTGTCTTGAAAAATGGGAACAGCGGTTTACCGTAATGCGCTGAACAAACTAAAATTTAATAAACATAGCCACCATAAACATAGGCACCAAAAATACCAGCGAGATTGAAAGAAAATAAAAATATTTCTTTGAAGCTCCATGAATTTCATAAATCTTGGATGATTGACACTTTTTTGATGAAACTGACCCAATTTGAGAAGACTAGATCATTGGATCAGTTTTTATTTTACTGGCACTTAAAAATTGTGTCTGTGGAGAACATAAATTACTTTGCAGATGATTTTGAATCAAATTTGAGCCAAGAAAATCCAAATTTCAGCTAACGCAAAATTAAACAAATTTGTGAGTGAAAAATGTACTCACAACGGCAATTTTTTTTCGACAAAATTGACGACTTTTTTTGTCGATAAAATTGATTTTCCAAACGCTCCCAGAACATAAAAACGTGCCAAAACAATATAAAATAAAATAGCATCGAAAGAAAATTTATCAAGCGATAACAAAGCCAAAAATACGTTAGCAGAAACCAAATAATTCAAAGAAATATCAGTGCTTTCACTCTCAAACACATATACTTTATTCGCGCATCAAATAGAAATTAATGCGGCCAAAAAGCCGATATATTGGCCGAAACCTTTTAGCCAAAAACAAAAGATAAAAAAAGCTAAAAAAAAAATTTTAAAAAAAAGGACTAATAAAAGGTTATTAAATCCCCCTCACCCTCAAAACACACACACACACACACAGCTTGTAAAATGATTCAATATGATGCCACTAAAACAGATATAATATAGGCCGAAAATTTTTAAGTCGAAAAAAGGGAAAAATCAAAACAAAAATTAAGACTTAAAATAAGTTATTAAGTCCCCCTCCCCCTCAAAACATATATTCGCAAAAAAATCGCCCGTCAAAGGATATAACGCAATGTGAGGCCACAAAGCTGATATAATATAAGCCGAAATCTATCAAGCCGAAAAAAACACCAGAACACGGCAAAAAGCAGCTCAAGAAAGTGCAATAAAAAATAGAAATTAGCCTCAAATTAGCGAAAATTCGGCTGAGTCTAGGATTCGATCGGCGACCGAATGCAATCATGAGAACTTGAGTCGCACGTAATAACTACTCAGCCAGGCACGCTTAACCAGCGAAAAACACTAAGACACGAACAAAGCAGCTACATATGCTAATAAATTGCCAATGCTTTTAAGCAAAAGTGGCACCAAATACAAATAGAATATCACAAACTGAAGGCATGCACACTAACTTTGCATGAAACAAATCGCAAACCATAAAGCCACATTATGTATAAATTTTGCATTTCAAGAAATTGCGAGATATGGTGTTAAAAATGTCTGAAATCGAGATTTTATTGTTGTTATATTGTTAAAAACAAATAGCTTTTTTTTCGGTTCATTTGATCTGCGTTAACTTATTACTATTCGAAAGTCACAGCTCATGGTATCAAAAAGCTGTAAAGCAGCCCCAAAAGTGGCACCAATATTTGCGACTGATACCTTAAGCTGACGGTAGTGCAAATAGTAGAGATTATTACGAATGGGACACAAAATTTAGCGGTTAATTTGCTGCTAACAAGTTTCCAGAAAAGGAGTTCAGATGAAAAAATTCCTGTGAACAGAGTTATTTTTGGGAAAAAAAGTCGAGTACCCGGTTGCAATACCCTTGCTTAGCGCAAGGGTAAACACAGACGAGAAAATGGTTATGGAGCTTGGAAATTGCTATAAACCGAGTGTTATTCGCTTACCTCCAGTGATGAATGAACCACTGGAATGATCTATGAGAGGCAATTCGTCTAATTCCCCATTGTTGAAATCGTGTGCTGATATTTTTCGAGTAGGTGTGGTTGCGCCCGAATCATCGTTCTTCGGCGAGTCTCTTTCGGTACCGAGAGAGAATCTGCGATGGCTACTGCTACGCCAAGTACTGCTGGCTGAAGTGGTCGCTGTCCCACTCAGAGGGGCGCGACCGTTACCTGTCACCGAGGAGTTTCTCATTTCGAGAAATTCCGACGTCAACTAAAAAAAATTTTTTAATGAGATTACTTAGTGACAATTCAACAAACCTCTGCGATAGCCGATAAAAAAATGTGCTGTCTATGTCAGAAAAGAATGGAAAACACCATGGAATGGAAATTGATTTTTTGATCGCATTTAATGGAACCATAAGTTTGGTGTTCTTCGCGAAATTACTTACCCCTAAAATCTTAACATTATTTTTTGAAGATACAGGTTTGCATAGTAATTGGCATACATGGCGTTAGGTTGAACGCGTTATTTCAACAAATTGCCAAATAAATTATGTACTTCTTAAAACCAATTGTACTGACCAGTTGAACTAATTCAGTCATTTTCATCCGTGACGTTCAGTTGAAGCTTTTTGTTCCAATTTAACCATTTGGTTGAACAATTTTTGTTATTCCACAATTATAGAATCAAATATAACATCTCTCCTACGGCAGTAGGTTATAGGATAATTTGGACAAGTATAAAACGTCCTACTGCCGTACGAGAGATGTAATAAAATGTTCTATCATTTTCTAATATCAAAAACATTCAAAATATATCGCGCGTTAATTGACCCAAATTGGTCAAAATGGCAACCTTTAAACCCTCATAACTTTACAAAAAATGATCACAGGTGAAATATCTTTTCAAATTTAAGCTCAGGACAACAATACCTTTTGAATGATAAAAAAAATTCCGTCAAAAATGGCTAGTTAAAAAGTCGAAATTTGTCTGAAGAAAAAAAAAAACCCCCACCCCCGAGCACAAATTTTCCGTTACTTTCGTATCGAAAGTCGGAACAATAAACAAAACTTATTCGACTAGTTTGTAGAATTTCAGATACCAATAAAATCTTTTTGCAACAGAATTTGAACCACCAGTATCCCAGAAAAATGCTGAAAAACTAGGAAACAACGACACGCAAGTTTTACCGTATGCTATTTTACCTGTTCCAACTTATCCTATGCTATTTCACTATTTGAACTTTTTACTCCATCCTTAGTAATATTCAGCCAAATTAACTCGCAATTAAATTTATCTTTGATCTGCAAAATTGATACCTAGTTATAATTTGTGAGCAGCACGTTTTAATTATTTTATTCAATTGCGTCACAAAACGCAGTTGGCCGCTTTGCAGAAAGCTTGTACATCATCACAACTAACTAAGTTGAACCCAAACCCATTGGGGCGCAGAAACGCGTTAAGTTTTGATTTTGACAATTCCTGAAAAATCATAATAAAGAAGAGCCAAAATTTTATCGAAGTCTCAATGATAGCCACGAACTTACTTAAATCTAAAACACAAAAACCTGAGATTCGAAATCCTGAGTTTTCAAGATAGAATTCGCACGAATGCCTAACCAAAATATGAAAACATAGCCAAGTTACAGTTGGAAAAGAGCAATGTAACTGAAAAAAAAAACCAAAAAAAGCAATTTGTTTATTTTTCAAAAATCTTGAACAGTTTGAAAGCTTCATCCTTTTCGACAGTGTGATCACTGATGCAACGGAAAAAAATTTGGCCACTACAAATATGTGAACGCACTTGAGCTGAACATCGATTTAGAACTGTGCCTTGAGATATTTCCTTGGCCGGGTACCGGTGGTGCTAACCCTCCTTTTGTGACAAACTAATCAATCCTTTGATGCTTCCAAAATTTGAATAAAATTTGGCTTCTCGGCGAGTTGATCTTTCGAGTTTTTTGAAAATGAAGCACATGCATTATCTATTAAGCTTAAAACGACTTGGTGAGATATGACTTGTGCTCATTCAAAATCTAGTTGCAACACTTCAATTTGCAAATTAAAGCCAAAAATTTTCATCTTTCGTTCATGCTTTGAACACGTCCCAATTTTGAACGAGCTATATTTAGGTTATTGCATTTCTGTGATTTTTTTTTTCATATACAGCAATTATTCTTTGATCAGCGTTAATGAATCTTTCATGTAAAAACCGACTTTTTCTACGGAATACTTCAGACATGATAATTTTTTAAATTATTATAGTAAAGTGAAAACGCCATAGGCATTGTTGTTGGCAAATAGGGTAAAGTGGTAGAGGGTATAATTGCTTAGGGTAGAGTATAGAAGGATAAATCGTCATGTAACCCTCTCCTACGGTGTCCGGCAAATAAGAGGACAGCTGTAAGACGACAACCGCTTTTGGCAGGACTTTTGGTAAGACGACGCTACACATGAATTCTCCTTTTAGATTTCTCAGAAACGCTTAAATTCGAACAGCTCATTTTACATGTCCTATTGCTAACTTGTCGTCTTAACCTCTTGTCGTCTTATTTACCAAGCACTCTCTCCTACGAATTGTGCAAGAGTACATTTACTTTCGTGTATTCTTCGAAGTTCTATTTACATTGAGTCGTAAGAAAATCAATTCAATCCAGGGTGTTCAATAATGGAAGACTAAATATAAGTAACATAATTTTATCTGAAGCAACTATTTATTTCTGAAAACTAATATCTTAGCTTAAACAATGTCTGTTTTTAATAAGCAAATTGGTCAACTAGTTTAACAAACAATTTATTAAACAATTGTCAATTAACTGATTACATTGGACATCATTGACTCCTCTAGCGCTAAATTCAAAATTTAGTCTTGATAGCAAAATGTTAACATCTGTGTTACTCGTCATTGAAATTAATGTAAATATCTTTTTGGAACCCAAATCAAGATTGAAAGTGGCTTTGACATGGTACCACGCTGAAACCCCTTTAAGCTTTCTTGGAGACAATTATATTGATCAAAAACACACTAGTCCTAAATCCTTCTTCCCGACTGTGAGAGTGGTTGTGAAAAAACAATACATTCCAAATGAAAAAAAAAATCAGTATACACTAACAGGTTTAGAGTGCTTGCGCTTGGTCGCGTGATTGACAGTAGAATTGGCCGGAATCGCTTCTGTTTCAGAGCGTCGTCTGCCTGAGGCGCACAATTGCATTAGCCATGACTGCACCACATCCAAGTTCACCTCACTGATCACGTGTTTCGTCAGATAACTCGGATTGCTCCTCAAAAACTGCGACACCTGCTCTGGAGTGCACTCACCACCCGCAGTCTCTGTCAGAGTTGCCATCGATTCCATTTCCATATGTGTGCTTAAATCATGTTCAGTGTCATGATTCTCGAATGTTACTTGTCGTGGAGACAATGGATTTAAACTTGGAATCGGGTCGTTGGAAAAGACTTCGGGCGACATATACTGAGATGACGCAGACGCTTGAGGATCTGAAGATATACGTGCAGTTCTGCTGTCAGGTCCGTCTGCCACCGGCTGAGATATGTGATGCGAATAGTCAGGGTCTGAACTGGACAAGAGGTCCAGGCCGGTTCCGTTTATTTGCACTGCGTGCTGTTTAGGGTTTGTCTCTCCTTTTGACTTTGTCCGATTTTTTTTCACTCGATTTTCCTGCTCGTTCTTCTGAAACAGTTCAACTATCTTAGCAGAGAAATTATTTTTGTTTCAAGTCATTGAAAATTCTCGATCAAGGTTTTTTATATAGTATAACTGACGAACTATTGGCGCGGACGTCCATGAAAACATCCGTGGAAGTCATATCACGTCTTACTTTTCGTTATTATTTCCAGGTCGATATTTAACGCCTGGTCTTCAGATTTTAACCTTTGTAAGTAGCGATATATGCCAAATTCGAGGGCAGAACAAGAAATCTCCGATACGCCACAACAAGAAATGCCTAATACGCTGCAGCAAAGCAAATTTTTTCAGAGCGCAAAGAAAAAAACAAATAGTTTACACCTTTTGAAATGTGTGATTATAATGATCGAATAAGCGTTAGGTTCAAACTAAGTCGAAGTGAACCTGAACAAAAATGGTCAACAGATAACATAGTGAACACTTACAATGTTGAGCCGATGGAATAAATCAACGAAAAGTTTAAACCCATCCATCTTAGAATGGATGTCTGCTCGTGGGTCAGATTCGAAACAAACGACTACTCAACAGCAGACACATGCAGTGGTAGCTGCAGACGATGCAAGCAAGTAAGTAGCTAAGAATGAATTGGAGACGGAGATAGACTTGCAGATGTAATTTAACAGCACGCCACGGCGGGAGGGAATTAGACGGAATGGTATGTTTTATAGTGCTATTGTTTTCCCTCTCTATCGATAAGGCACTCAACTGAAATCTGAAAAATCATACGACGGGCTTGTACGCTTCTATTCTGCTCCCGTTTGCAATGTATCAATGGCAGGAAAATGAGCTGTTATATAAGAACCACCGGCTAAAATCTTATCGATTGGCAAAAGTGCGCACAGGTAAATAAATGATCAGAGAGCGTAATTGCGACTTAATGAGACAAATTTCAGGTTCTTGTATGGCTTCTTCAGCAGGCAATAAAACTTGCACGCAAGTTTGGATTCACAAAGCTGCATTTTGCCATAGAATTGGTGAGATAGATTAGCACTTGCTCGTTCGTTCCATCTTTTGCTAAATACAATACAAGGGACAAAAAACAGCGACGAAATTGGTACACCAATTTAGAATTTAATCAGCACATTATTACATGAATGCGACGGCTGCCGTAAATTTGCAATTTTGGTCCATAAAATTAATGGAAAGAAGGCAATGGGAGCGGCAGCACCAAGACAAACCAATAAAACAAGCGCTGATAATGCAGTAGTCAGCTGTATTTTTAATTTAATCAACAGTCGCAGCAGTCGACTTATACTAGTAACAAGTAGTACCAACTAAAACACTCAGACCAGACCAGATTAACTGACCCGAGACTCAAATTACCATTCGCTAGTTCACTCTAAATTCTTGCATAAACCACAAGAAGAAGAAAGAACAAAGAGAAAATGAGCTGAGCAAATCACAAGAGAATCAGATATTTGTTTGAATTTACTTTACAATGCTGGTAAAGCTGAACTGTGGTGTTTGCGAATAAAAGTTCGAAGTCGAAACGAGAAAATCAGGAACGAATTCTTCAGTTTCAAAGTAGTTGCTCTAGAAAAGAAAAATTAATTAAAAATCACTAGGGGAAGGAAGCCGTGGCATTTAAAACGGCCTTTAAAATTGTAATTCAGTTCGGCAGCCAGCTGAAGTCCAATTGAGGTTTTCCTATCTACCGGGTCATGTTATGCCATGCCAAAACACAACCAAATTTTCTCTCTTTGACCAAATCTAAGCGGCAACATACGAATTCCATAATTGAGCCCTTCTGCTTCACGAATATTCTCAGACAGAAAGAATGCGGAAGTCACCTGTATACCAACTCACATGCAAACAAAACAACCTAGAGCCAACGAAACACAAAACAAACAACAAACGAACAAACCTTAACTTTTCCCAAATTTCCAATAACTTTCAAATCGCTTGTTCGAGCTCAAAGAATTACGTGGTTGAAACACAGAAGCCAAAGAGCCTTCGAGTAGGAGAAATTATTATGATATTCCACATTGATAAAACTAAAATCCGAAGAAAAACTATTATTACAAATAAATATAGCCTAGAGACAGTTGGAAAAGAGCCAATGAACAAGAAAACCGAAAACAAAGCTTGTTCTTTTACAAAGCTTGTTGTTCTTTTACACCATTTTTAAACTTTCGAATTTTGGAGAAAAACAAGCCACGCAGTAATTTTTTTCTGATTGGCACTGTAAACTAAGAAATGTGGATTACGATAACATTTCAAATATCAATTTTCTATTGTTTAGTTGCGTTTGTATAATAGTGTTTCAGTTTTCAAGTTTTGTTTCTATAAGCCATTTTGAGTAACTTGACTCCAGTTGTCTTCAAATTGTTGTGTTCAAGCAATGAGCGAAATCATTGCATGTCAGGCTTGAAACATCGGGCATCGAAAGTCTAGGTAAACTAGTCGATTTGTAGCACTGCTCAAATCGGGCTAACAGCCGGCCTCATTTTGCAATCGCAAAATTCAAATGAAAAGTCGTGGTGGGGTTTCCTAAACCTAGTCCTAACATCCTAGAAGAGCTAAGGTGGCTGATGTCGTCGATGATTCGATTCGTGTTGTGGGTCTTTGTCTTGGTCATAGAGCTACGGTGACTCCTGTCGCGGTCGAAGAAATGATTCGTATTGAAGGTTGTTTTGTAGCTCGTTGCTAAACCCAAGTAGAGCTAAGGTGGCTGCTGTCGTTGTGGAAGAGTCAATTTTTGTTGTAGATTGTTGTTGTCTTTGCTGGTTGCTTTGTCGATAGTAGAGTGGTCGACTCAAATAAAGTGTTTCATTGGTCATCGTTGCAAAACATGTTGCAACCCTATCTAATGTGGCTGTGTTGTTGTCGATGATAAGATCATTACAAAATGTGCCACCTTTTAAGTGATGCTCTCCCGTCAAAGTTTGATGCAGGTTGGTTCCAGTTCGTCGTTGCAGAGGTGAATAGCAGAGAGTGATCTGTGAGTCAGGTCATATATCTTACTGGAGAGTTACTGCTGAAAGTATTCTAGTGATTCCCATTTTTTCTTTTGAGATGCGTTCAATTTGGGCTGATGGATAAATGGTCGGTCAAAGTGTCGATAATCTTTTCTGGTTTCTCTGATTTGAGAAAATCCATTATCTTCTACTAGGTTGTAGTGGCTGGAGTGCTTTACATGTCGGTTGGCGAGGAGTAGGTGCTGTTGGGCGAAAAAAAAATTGGTCGTATTGCGGGAATTTTCACAATACCATGTCGAGTGCGTACATTGTATTGTCTAATTTGATCGTCATATGATGGGATCGAGGATTCAATGCATCCAAGATGCCATAAGCCTCCCGGAGTGAAATTTTCTAGTATCTATACTGGCTGTCCGTTGGCTATCGTAACGGTTTCACAGAAGTCCATTTCTGGCGGGGAAGAAGCGTTGGCGTTTCCATACGTGATTTGAGAGCTGCGGGGCGAACTTCCACTGTTTCGTTATATTCAATGGGTGCGTTGATAGTTTGGGCGGCATGCTGGCGAACATTTGTCCTAGAAGTAAGTGTTTGGGCGTAAGGGCTTCAATATCGTTGGGAGATGAAGAAACTGTGGCGATCAGCCTGGAGCTCATGAACTGTTCGACCTCGCATAGTACTGTGTTGAAGGTGTCGTCAGTCAGAGCCTGCTACAAATGCTAGCATACATTGCGTTTTTCAGGCTTCGGATGAGGCGTTCCCATACGCCTCCGAAGTGAGGCATAAGTGCTGGGTTGAAGTACCAAAGAATTTGAGTTTCCAAAAAACTCATGAACAACTGTAGGAAGGGTTCCTCGTCTAGCAAAGAAGCGCACTGAGGGTGGCATCGGCGGAGAGGTCTTGACACATTTCGAGGTGCACGGCACGTGTAGTTGGCAGGTCAGAATGAGTCTATATCGTTTGTTGTAAGTATTGGCTATCTGAGAGGCCAAAGGTCCAAAAACATCCGGTCCCGTGTTTTGAAAGGGGAAGGGTTTCTCAGAGGGAAAGCGGTTGTATGGTAGAGCTGCCATTTCAGGCTGGATACCATAAGCTAATTGGCGGCGGCATGCGTAGCAACTTTTGCAGACTTTTCGAATCTGTGCTCGGGCGTGTAGAATCCAGTACTCGGCTTGCAGAGTGTTCCTGGTGTGCTCTGGTGGAGAGAGCTGGTTTGTGACATGAATATGTGCAATCATTAGCAGAATAGCGGGGTGTTTACAAAAAAGAATGATGGGGTATTTCGAGCAAAAATCAAGTCTAGGTTTTGTAAGCGTCCATGAGCTCGAAGAAATCCTTTAACGTCGATGTGCGGGAAGAGGGGTCTAATGCGGCTGCAGGGTAATACTGATTGACCACGTTTGAGGGTGGCGTATCCGGTGGCGAAAGGGTCTAGCTGCGATTGCTTCGGAAGAAACAATTTGGCGTTGGTGATTTCGACCGACGTCAAGATGTGGTTTCGGTCTGTCTGCATTGGCAGACTGCTGCTGGTAGGGTTGGTCGATTGCGGCAAACTAAAATTGTCTTTTGTGTAAGATCCTCGTGATTTCAATCGACTAGAGATGGGGGCAAACGAAGAAGTTGTATCCGATGGTGTTTTTCAAATCAAAGATTGTCCTTTTAATTTGAATCTGTCCAATGCTCTGAGTACAAAAGCAGTTGCTCGAAGCAGTCTGGTCCATTTCGAGAACCTTTTGTATGAATTACAAAAATTTTCGGGACCAACGATGTTTGATAGAGCGATGAAAGACTGTCTGTGAGAGTGCTCGTCTGTGTTATTTGTCGAAAAGAGAAAAAAAGTGAACTCATAAGATGCAGTTTCAGACTGTGAAATCTGAAGTGGCGCGGGCCATTTCTGGTCTGATGCTAGAAGGAAGTCAGGTCCATGAAACCAACGGCAATTTGGTGTGAACTCGGCAAAGGAAATTCATCGAGTGCCGTCGTCTGCAGGGTTAAGGTTTCCTGGGCAGTATTTCCACTGCGAAGCTAAGGGAAGGTCTAATATTTCTCCAACACGGTTGGCTACAAATATTTGCTGTCTTTTATCAGGTCCATGTATCCTTTGAAGAACTGTGCTGCTATCAGTAAATAAATAGGCTGGAGTCTTGATGAACTTTGATGAATGAGTCTTGATGAACTTTACAAGTCTGGATCCTATCAAGGCTGCTTGTAATTCCAGCTTGGTTATCGCATGCTGCTTTAACGGTGCAACTCTAGCTTTTCCAAGAGCAAGCGATATACTTCTTTGGTTTGTGATCTCTTCTATGTAAACGATATATGCGACTAAAGCAAGAGCGGCATAGGAAGCATCAGAAAAAACATGCAGAGAAAGTTTTGAGTACTTATGAAAAAAATACTGGCGAGGAATGCTCACTACTTGCAGCTGGTTGATTTCACTTAGTAGTGTGAAAAATTCTGGCAGGTTGCCGTTGCTGAGAGGGTCGTCCCATGAGAGTCCTTGTCTCCAAACACTTCGCTGCAAAATGCGGAGGGGAATAGTAAAGGGCGCGGCAATTCCTATTGGGTCGAACACTGATGATGAAGTGTGAAGTAGATTCCATTGAGTTCGTTTCTTTTTCAGCAGGTCGTAGAAGTTGTTTGGCCAGAAAACAAGTGAGTCGCTGGCGATGTCCCACTGAATTCCTAAAACTCGTTTGGTAGTAGTTTTGTCGAGAAGTTCGTCAAAACTGATGTCTCGATGTTCTTCGTGAATTGATGCAAGGATGTCGTTATTGGTTGTTATCCACTTTGTTAGATTGAAGCTACCGGTCTGAAGGAAATATCGCAGGTCGTTGAAGATTCGTTGAGCTTCACTGATGCTGTCGGTTGATTCGTAGAAGTTGTCCATGTCGAAGTTATCGTGGGCAAGGTCTTTCACATGGGGGAAAGTGGATTCATTGCCGTCGGCACAAGTTTGCAATGCAAAGTTGGCACAAGTGGGTGAGTACTTTGCACCAAACACAAAACATGTGTATTCATGGAACTCTGGTTTGGTGGTTTCCCACAGAAATCGGAGAAAAGTTCGATCTTCTGGCTGAACAGATACTTGAATATAGATCCCTTCTATGCCGGCGTTGATTGGGCATTTGCGTTCGCGAAATCGTCAAATTACTGCAGGTAGGTTACTGAGTAGGTCGGGTCCACTCGAAAGCATGTCATTGAGGCAATCAACTTTGTATCTGGATTTTGCGCTGGAGACACGGCGAACTTTTCCGGGCTTGTTGGAGTTGATGACACCGTGTTCGGGTAGAATCCATCCTGTCGAAGGTATTTCACTGGGTATGACTTTTCTAATGTATTCTTTGTCGAGGTCACATGAAAATTTCCAGTTTGTTGGGGTCAATTTGAAATCGTGTTCGCATCTTTCTGACCTGATTGTTTTCCGTAAAATTTCCAATGCATGGCGTTCGCCTTTCGATAATGTTAATTCGGGTGAAGTTCCATATGATTCCTTTCTCCAGGTAACTACAAGGACTTCTGAAAGGTCTGCGTCATCCGGAGATTCTGTTTCATGGGTTGAGGAGGCACGAAAGACATTTCTTCCTATTATGTCGGCAGTTGGACCAACAATGGTCCATCCAAGGACTGTTGCAATTGCTCGAGAGGCAGTGTCAGGTCCTTTGATAACTGAGGTTGTCGTAATAAGGTCTATGATGTCTGTTCCAAGAAATGAGACCTGATTGTTTTCAAGATCGAAAAATGTGATGTCGGAAAGGTGATCGTAGGCTCGCAGATGCTGTTGAGTGCATTTGGCTGAACATTCTGAAGTCTCAAACTTTGAAGTATGTATGCCCTCTTAATGTGGAGTTCTTCGTTGAGGGTTCCAAAGGGATGAACAGTCAACTCAATTGATCGGGCACTGATCTTCTTTGAGTCGCGAAAATTGTCGATGAAAAATTCTTCTGTAGATTAGCTTTCCTCTAGTTGTAGGTAATCGGCTGTTGATTTTAGTATGTAGCTGTCGTTGCTACCGTTGTCTAGAAAGGCATAAGTGCTGATGTTTTTGTTTCCATGTCTCAACATAACTGGAACGTAGAGTAAGAGAGAGAGATCGTTAATCTCTTTTGCTGTCGGTTCATGGAGTTATGCGTCTGTGATGAATGCTGTGATGACGGGGAAGATGTCTGGTGAGTTGAGCTGTTGGTTGTAGAATTTACGTCGTGAAGGCTGCTTGATGTTGTCGGTTGCACATGGTCGCTTGGAGGGGCAGTCTTCTACCATATGTTGTCCCAAGCAAGTGAGGCAAAAACTTTTCTAGAGGATGAGTTTTCGTTTTGCTTCAACTGACTGGTGTTTGTACTTGTCGCAATAGGAAGAGCGGTGTTTCTGGTTGAAGAATGCGCAAAAATTGCGGCTTTTCTGTTGGAATCCTTTATTGTTGGTTGAAGATTGGTTATCGTTTTGATTTGATTGTCTGTCATCGTTTCTCCGGTTTGGTTCAAAAGAGTTACGATGATTGCGTGAGGTGTTGCTGATGTTAGAGACGTCTTCTTGAGGAAGGTAATCGCAGGCCAAGGCAAGATTCCGTAACCAGTCGTTAAACAGGCCAAGAATTGAGTGCTGTAAATCGTTGTTTACAAGATACTGGGTCCATTGTAATCGTTCAGTGTTGTGGAGCTTGTTTACTGCGAACTGTACAAAAATCGTCGAGTTGAGATCATTTGCAATTGCAAGAAACTGGAAGGTTTCAACAAGGTTGCTAACGAAAGAAGAACACTCCGTGTATGAGTCCTTATGATGTTGATGGCAATTGAAAACTTTGTAGTCGTTTGATGAAATTATTCACAATTATGTCAGGTCGTCCAAATCTTCTCTGAAGTTTCTGTAGGGCTGTTGCTTTTACTATGGTCAAAGTCTGGAGGTTGGTCAGTTTTTCGGCATCAGAAATTGGTTGATTGTGCACTGTGGTCTGAAAAAGTCCAAACCACATGCTCCATTTCAATGGGTCACCGTCAATATTTTCCAATTTGATCTTTGGTAACCGGGAAGTCTGGCTGAACGTTGCTGATGATTGAGTCTGTTGATGATGCTGTCGATACTGATGATGCATATATTGGTTGAGTTACGTACTGCGTCGTCAAGGTGGATGGGATTTCAAAACTGTTTCGCGGATTGATTGCTGTCGTCTGAAATGAATTCCCATCTGATGATTGATGTTGCTGTGTAAAGCTGAAGGCTGTTGTTGATGCAGAGGTTGCTGCTGGTTCAATAGTGCTTGCTGGAGTGAAAACTGTTGATGTCGTCAAAGCTGTAGTTGGTGCGGCAGATGTTGCTGCAGATACGGGCGCGTTAGTTGCTGAAGTGATCGTCGGGACGGCTAGGCGTTTGATCGTTTTCCGGTGGCTGTAAAGACTTTTGTTCAGTTGATCTTCAATATATGTGAAGTTTTCGATGATGTTGCTGGTTGTTGCAGCTTCAGTGGGATGATCAACAAGATACATTGTCATCTCCTCCAACTACTGCAGTAAGGCTGTGGCGTCTGCTTTCAAGTCATTGATGTTGATGTCCGTATTTTCGTCGTTTGTTGCCTTCTCAATTCGTTGGAGGGCATTTTGCAGGCGTTTCAGAATGAAGTCGCGTTGAGCAAGGCTTGCTTTTCCTGGCATTTGGTTGGCATGCTGGCTAGTTAACTCTTGTTGATGCTATACCCTAAATCTCAAACCCAGAGAGCGAGAACAGAATGTGAACAAGTAAACTTTATTTGAGTTCAAGAGACATTAGAAACAAATACCAAAAATCGTAGTGAGATAGACCTGTTTAAGTTTCTCCGATATCTCGAATGAATGGAGAATAAAATAACTTTACAAACAGAGGACGTAAATTATTAGTATAAGTTAGAGCATCATAAAATTTTGTACAGCGGACAAAATCATAAGTTTAAACCAAGTACCAAGAGAACACGTACAATTTTTCTGTAAATTGCGATTGCAAAAAAAAACACTTCCTGGCAGGGGAGTAGCCTTGTAAGCCGTAGAGGAAAGAGGGTCGTTTTTACTGGAATCGTTCCCTTAAGACGTCAATTAAGCTAAGAAGTGCGGATTACGGTAACAATTCAAACATCAACTTTCTATTGTTTAGTTGCGTTTCTATAATAGTGTTTCAGTTTTCAAGTTTTCTTTCCATAAGTCATTTTGTCCATTTTCAGTAACATGACTTCAGTTGTCTTCAAATTGTTGTGTTCAAGCAACGGGCAAAGTCACTGCATGTCAGGCTTCAAAAATCGGGCATCGAAAGTCACGCTAAACTAGTCAATTTGTAGCACCGTTCAAATCGGGCACTTTGTTCATGAAGCAAAACCCATTCAGAGAAAACTGGATCGATAAACATTTTTTTTTCACTTGGAATTCAGATAATTAAAGACAATTTCAACTTAAATTTGAAAGCGTAATATGATTTCCATTAACCCAGGTGCGGATCTAGGATTTTCTCGAGAGGGGGGGGGGCGGATTTTCAAAAAAAAAAAATCGAAAAATTTGTTGACCTTTTTTTTAGAACGACCGAATTGAAAAACAGGCCAAAAAGGGCGTTATGCACTTTTTTGAAAATTATAAGCAAAAAACCGCTGTTTATTTTGGCGCGCGTCTCCCCTCAAAATTAGTATATATTGGCGCCAAAGGCGTCTTTAGAAAAAAGTTTGGGGTTCGCCACCAAACATGGTTATCTCAAAATAGAACAAAGGGGGACCCTTTGGTTCGGCAGGGGATCGAATCCCTGGTGGGGGGGGGGGGGCGAATGCAACCCCTCCTCCCAAAATCCGCCCCTGCATTTGAATTGAGCTTGAAAAAAGTCAAATAGCAAAAAATATATATCTAAGCGAAAACATAATTCCGATTTTTTCTTTTAAAAACGCTTTGCTTTGTTAATTACCACTTGTACAAAAAAAATGTATTCAGTAACCGTACGGAAGTGAAATTTATGAAACGTATAGATCAATAAAAATAATCTAAGAAAAAAACATCATAATCTAGAAATCAGCAGACCAACAGCAGCTAAAGTTGCTTCTGACCAATGAACTCACGAATACCACTACAACTACAATAGGCCCACAAAGGCTTTAAAACTAAACAAGTGTCCAAAAACAACAGATTTGATTATTCCATTTTTTCAACCAAAAAACACTTTCTTGTATACTGGTGGTGCAGTTATATCAAAATTTATTTAATTCAAACAATTTTCAATGACGTTTCGTTGCTTGATTTTTGCATAATTTTATTTAATGAAAAAAATAGTTTCCAGGTTTTGAACTTCGTTTGCAACTTAACAACATTCTAGTAACAGATATTTAAACGAAATAACTAAAATGTGACAGCCCATGAACAACAAAAGCCTACGAACAAAAAAAAATTGACAGCCAATTGTTGTGGTTCTTTTAGCCGAGGGTCGGGTTGGTCTCATTCGTCTCCAGGTCTAAAAACATCGCGGCATCCACCGACCGAAGCCACAGGTATGTAGGGTACGTAGGGAGGGAGTTAGGCGGCAGTTGAAAAGGTCAGAAGTGGCCATCAGTTCAGGCATAGAGGGGAAAGGAGCTAGTCGGGGAACGTAAATGTTTAAAAGCCGGCTATAGCTGAAGCGGAGTTGGGAGAGCTTACAGCGAGTATTTCTGGAAAGGGCTTGTTCTGAGAGGTCAACGTTGAGTGAAAGGATACAAATCGCCTTAGTGTGGGGCTTTATATAAAAAATAAGGAGGTGACATCGTCTCGGTTATTAAAAGCTACGGGAGGGTTTTGTTCACCGAGTAGTTAAAAATGAAATCAGTTGTTTCTTTGAAGCAGTTTATAATAGAAGGGCTCAATCGGCAAAAAGATGAGCGTGTGAAAAAACTGTTGGGGTGATATGAAGGGTTAA